ATTAAAAAAATACCATGTGACCCAGGATTGCAATCCTATTACTGGTTATGTAGCTAAAGAAAATGAAACTATCAAAGAAATATCTGTACCTTATGTTCATTGCTACAATATTCACAACAGTCCATGTACAGAATCACTTAAGTGTCACTAATGAGTGAATGGATAAAGAAAATGGAACATGGAAACAAAGTAGAATACTATTTAGTCTTAAAAAGCGAGAAAATCGTGTCCTTTATGAAAATGTGTATGGAACAGGAAGTAAAATAAGAAATACAGAGAAAAAAATGCCATACTATTTCTCTTATATGGAATCTTAAAATGCTGAGCTCCTAGTAGTTGCAAATAGAATGGTGGTTACCAGGGATTTGTGGCAGAAAGGGTTGGAAGACTGAAAAGAGACAAATAATCTAGTCTAAGGTACTTTACTATAGCAGCCTGAATGGACTAAGACCTTTGCCTAACATCATACGTAAAAACTAAGTCAAAGCGGATCAATACCCTGACACTGTAAAACTCTTAGGAGGAAAACAAAGGTCAATAGATTTATGACAGTGGATTTGTAGGACATGACCCCAAAGACACTAGCAACAAAAGAAAAAATAGATCAAAAAATATTATTAATGAGTAAAACAGCAATCCATAGAATGGGAGAAAAATGGGGTCATGTGTTTGATAGAAAATTAGTATCCAGAATGAGCAGGAAACTATTAGCTGGCCCTGAAAAGGTTTTCTTCTCAAAGTGAGACAAACTTAAGCAATTTTGCACAGCAATTTTGCAGTGAAGGGGAGGTGGCATAGCTCATCTGAAGTGGCTTCACCCTTCACACAGAGAAGGTCACTCACTTTCTGACACTGCACAAATGATCTTATCTGGGCCTTTTGTCATTGCATGCTAACCATCTTCTTGTGCCCGGGTTTGCATTCTGAAGCTCCAGAGATTTGTATTTCATCAGAATCCACAGCCTGACCCAGTGTAATTGTGTGACACTTATGACCAAATCTAGAAGCGATAGGGCCAGTGACACAAAGGGTAAAGCACATTAAAAATACAATGTCAAAAGAAAGAGTGATTCACTATCTTCTGGCTTTTTTCCTTGTTAATGTATTACAGATAAAATGTGTATATATTACAGATAAAATTATAAATACATACTGTTTAATAACATGCAATTGGGCTAAGGATTTAGCACAGTGGTACAGTGCCTACCTGGCAAGCATAAGGTCCTGAGTTGAATTTCTGGTACCAAAAAAAAAAAAAAAAATACAAACAACAATGACAACAACAACAAACCATGTAATTAAGTCCCATCTATGAAAGCTGAGAGACGGAAGTTGAGAGGTAATGAAATTTGAAGTCCAGGAGTCCGGAAGAACATGGCAGATAGATAGCAGCAGCTTTGCAGGCTTTCTGAAAAACTGCACATGAAATCCAGGAATGGTACTGGGCAGGAAGTCCTAGGCAAGGGGAAATATTCTTTGCTGACCCAGGAATGAACTAAATTAAGAGAAACCAACAGGAAATGCACTGCCAGTGATACAGCAGGAACAGATAAGGTCTCAGCACGGAAGCCAGACCCCACGCCACTGGAAACTGTGATTTGAATTTCCTGCAGCCACTGCTGCGTCCCGGTCATTACAGTGGGGAGAGAGGTGCAAAAGCTCTGAGAGTGGAAAGCGGTGAATGGAGTTGGAAGCGGGACTGGCCGGGTGCCCTGCATCAACCTGCAGTGAGTGAGTGGATCGGGGACCCTTCCATAGAGTAGGAGGCTTCAGCGGAGGACATATTTGGACTGGGCAGACTTCCCGGAATGAGATGCTGCAGTGACTTCAGTCACATATCCCCCTCTCAAGCGGGATTGGTGGGGAGTGCCTGGCCTGCGAGACGCCGCTGGCTGAGACCCAGTAGGCTAGCCCAACCCAGTCCCAGCGCCTGGAGGTGCACCCTAGCGGTGAAGCCTTCAGTAGATTGACCTGGAGGGGCAGGCCCAGCATACACTGCCCAGGTCTGTGTCTCCCTGGTGCACTGTGGTGGGCGGGAACACCTAGCCAGCACAATTCAAACAGACTGTGGCCCACAGGGAAGGAAGCTGGGCCTCCTATATACGCTTGCATATATAAGGAACAAAGAATATGGGAAGAGGGAGCAACAAGAAAGGGTCCTCAGCCCCCAATCCTGAGAAACATGCAATAGCAGACAAGGCACCAATAGACATAAAGTGCTATCTCCAGAGCCTCATAGACGAGTTCAGGAATGAAGTTATTAATGACCTGAAGCAAGACATAAGCAGAATAGGTAGAGAAATGCTAAGCACCGCCCAAGAAAAAACACATGGTGGAAAGGAAGAACAGAAAAAAAGGGGAGAATTGTTTGATGGAGAAAATAGAGAAAACATAGAATACGTGAAGCAGGTTCAAAGAGATTATCAGGAAACTAAAAACTCTATTGAAAGCTGGCATAACAGCTTAAAGAAACTAAGGACAGATTATCTGAACTGGAGGGCAGATTTGTAATATGGGAGCATGAAATGAAAAACTTCTTAAAAATAACAAAAAAAACCAAACAGCAACAATACAAAAACTAGAAGATGATAAGAGAATCTATATCTTAAGAATTAAGAACATAAGAGAAGAAGTGGGGACACAAACAAATGGACTACAAAAGCTATTCACAGAAATAATCCAGGAGAATTTCCCTAATTTAGCAAATGGTAAAGATACTCAGATGTATGAGGCATACAGGACCCCAGCCACCTAAAACCCAAACAGAGTATACCCAGGCATATAATAATCAAAATTCCAGAAATCCAATATAAGAACAGAATATTAAAAGCCATCAGAGACAAGAAACAGATCACTTACAAGGGAACACCCATCAGAATTACAGCAGACTTCTCGGCACAAACCATCAAATCATGAAGAGTGTGGGGGGAAATAATTCAAGCTTTGAAAGATAATAGCCTCCAGCCAAGATTGATATATCCTGCACAACTGTCCCTAGAAATTGATGGAAAAATAAGGTGCTTCCAGGATAAAGAGAAACTAGGGGAATTTGCAACCACCAATTCAACTCTACAGAGAATACTGCAGGATAGTCTAAAAAAAGAAAGTACCAAGATTCCAGAAATAGTGGCAGAGAGGCCACAATGAATGGAGCAGAAAACAAAATGAAGAAGACAAACTGACAACAAAGGACAGAAAAAGAGCTCAACAGAAATGAGGCAGAGAAGATCAGAAGGTAGGAACAGCTATTTTGGAGAAAACAAGACATCATCAGCTAGTGCTAATTTAGTATCATCTTGTTTTGAAGTCCCATCAAACTTGTATTCTTCTGTCTCCATCGGTCTTAAAAGGTTGTATCTTATTGGATTTTATTATATATGATAATATAAGCAAAAACTTTTATAGACAAGGAGTTTATATAGAAACCATTGTTCATTTTCTGTTAATTGGTTCTAAATACCCTGTAATAATGTCATTCTCTTGAATGGTTTTATAGTGTCTTGATATGTTTGGTGCTACAGTATAAGAAGTTATACTCAAAGATTTCAAGGAAAGAGACACTATGGTAACTATTTTTATGTCAGGATATCTTGTGGTGAAACACTATTTTGCTTAAATGGTTATGTTTTGACCTGCGCTGTTCTGTTGTTATGCCCTCTTTTATCTCAATCCCCCTTTTTTAAAATTATTTACTTTTTTATTTTTATTTTTTTAATTAAGGGAAAAATAAATAAAAAATAGCAGGATACATTATAGTAACCTACTTTGATTTCCTATTAACTTGATTTGAAACCCTGTATTGCCCTCACAATCTTGTTTTGACTGATTTTCCTCTATTCTGCTTTGCTTGATAGTACCAAATTCGAAAGTATAGGCATAACTGTGAAGACAATAAGAATCATTATGACGCCCATTCTGGTTGACTATTATTTTCTTTTAAAATCCTGTAATGTCTCCAATGCTTTGGTTTTATTCTTTACTGTTTTGTTCAATTTAATTATAACTGGAAATTCTTCTTAAAATAGCAAGAGGCAATATGGTAACCATTGTTGATCACCTTATATTTTGTTTTTACATTATCTATTATGTCCATCCTTTTGGTTTGACTGACTCTGTTCTGATATGTCGCATTTGGTTTTACTCTCTTCAAAAAAAGTAATAAGAACTGTGGGAGTAATAAAACCCAAAATGTGTAACTGTCATTGTACAAAAGAAAAGAAAAGAAAGTGCTCTAAAGGATGTAACTGCACATATGTTTAAGTGTATAAGATAGATAACCATATTACTGAGATTTTTTGGATCATTGAACAAAACTGTTTGCACTCTCACTGTTTGACAGTCCACTTTATATGCTTCAATTTTGTAACTTGAACAACTATTTCTAAGAGGAGAATATGTAATCTATTAACTAGTGATTTCTTACTGTTTATTTTTTAAATTTTATATTACTTGTACCCTTTTTCTTTTTTTTTTTCTTTTTCTCCTTAAAAAAAAAAAGAAAAAAAGAAATCTGAAGCCCAGGGGTGTTGTTCAGGTAGACGGTGTACTTAGCATGTGCAAGGCCGCTGGTACAATGTCCCATACTCCTCCTCTCCTACCTAATTGAAACCTAACTGCAGCTGAAGTTTGGATCTCCTCTGTTACCCATGCTTAGCTGAATGTTCTTTCTTCTCTTGTTTTGTTTTCTATTTTCTGAAGCATTCATGTTGTTAAAATATTTACAGATCTATCATTTACTAGATATAATATTATTTCCAAGTTTCTCTGTTTGAAATATATTCATTAAATTTATGAAATACTTAAGCTGCATCAAGTTTGTAAAGTAGAAAGACTTTTGATATAAATTATCTTTAGGAGCTTAGAAATCGGCCTGACAGTTTCGAGTGTCTGTAGAACAGCACTCTGCAGATTACAGAATGCTCTCAGGGTATCAGTTGATCCTTTGCACAGAAATCCCACGTGATTCTTGCTATTTTCAGCTATGTCCACAAACTAAAATTAGCACCCGGCTGGCGTGACATTTTGCTTAGTTACTGCCTGACTGTGGGTTTTAATCATTTGGAACTAGACTAGTGGGAAAAAATCAGTCTGCTATCCATTTTTAGTTGATAATCATTAACTTTGAGCATGATGGTTTCAGCATCAACCAACAATGGTAAGTAGTTTTTGAACATTTCCACTCTCTTCTTCACCTGTAACTAGATTGCTGAGGATGACTTTACTATGCCTGTAATGGTCATAGTTGCACATGTAACTGTGTTCTGCTGGAAGATGGATTTCTCTATAAGCAGGAGCATCATTTCTCAAGTTGTATTTCTTTTGCTTTCTTTTGGCTATGGGAATCTGACTCTTCCATTCAGGTTATGCCATGTTCTGTATTTCTCTATGCAATCTCGGCCCAGTAGAATAACAGTCAAGGCAGAGACCACAGTGCTAGTGTCTTGTTTGCTTTGCAAGGAAAATTTGTTGATATATGAGAAATGATGACCATAATTTAATAGCACATAAAGAAATTAATTAACAAATGACCAAATAGTTCAATGTATATGTACATATATACATTGTACATATATATGTATGAATATATATATATATTCTAATAAACATACACATACAGATGCTGAGATTTTTTAAACATTTTAAAATTTTGATATTATTACTTAATACTTTGCAATACTTAAATATTGCAAAAATATGTGACAATGAATTACAGATAATATGCTCAGATCGTTGGGTTACCAGCATATGTATCCCAAGGTTTCCTTTTTCCCTTTCTATTTTTTTTATAATATACATTTTTTGATGTAGAAAGAGCAATCCCAGTGAGACAGAATTATTGATAGTGAAACTAGTTAAGGATATCTTCTTACATTTTTTTTTTTAAATCAGTACCAGGGATCGAACTCACAACCACACGCTTGCGAGGCAGGTGCTAATGCTCTGAGCTAAATCCCCAGTCCCGTAGGATGTCTTCTTACTGTTCTCATAAAGAATGAACCATGTTCTGAACATTTTTAGAACTGACGAACATCAGGCTACCAGGGATGCTATGTTTTCCTGATTGAATTGAGGGCCTTTGCACCGTACTTCATCCCTGGTGCACACACACACACACACACACACACACACACACACACAATGTTTTTCAGAAAATCATTCTGCACCACAAAGGTGTGCTTTTTTTGTTTTTTTGTTTGTTTGTTTTTTTGTTTTGTCTTTCTGAGACGAGCTCTTGCTATGCAGTTCAGGCTGGCCTTGAGCTCACTTTGTAGCCCAGGCTGGTCTCAAACTAGCAACGATCCTCCTACCTCAGCCTTCCAAGTGCTGGGATTACAGGCGTGAGCCACCATGCCTGGCTAGGTGTGCTTTGTTTTAAAAACAAAATGAAGCACTCTTTTATCAGAAAGTCTAATTAAATCACCCAAATTGTTATTGGTGTATATTGTTGATACGGACTAATGAATTTCATTTTGGCAGACTTGTACATGCACACAATGTGCTTGAACCATTTCTTTCCTATCACTCCCTTGTTCTACTTCCCCCTAGTCTTACTTTTGGGGTGGTTTTGACGCGCAGAACATTTTGACTGTGCTTAGTACCCCTGTTACCCCCTCTTCCACCCCGTCCCTTCTGCCCTTACTCTTTGTTTCTTATCTAACAGTCTTCCTTCCACTTTCTTGTCATCTTGTTTAGATTCCACATATTGAGGAGAACACATGACACTTGTCTTTCTCAGGCTGGCTTATTTCACTCGGCGTCATGGCCTCCAGGTCCATCCATTGTTCTGCAAATGACAGATTTTCATGCTTCCTATGACTCAGTAGCACTCCTCTGTGAATACACGCTACACTGTCTTTATCTATTCATCTGTCATTGGGCACCTGAGCTGGCCCCACGTCTTGGCTATTGTGAATTGAGAATTGAGCCACAATTAACATGGGTGTGCAGGTATCCTGCTGATTGTAATTCCTTCAAGTATATATAATGAGTGACATAGCTAGATCAAATGGTAGCTCTGTTTTTAGTTTTTGAGGAACTTCCATACTGATTCCCATTGTGATTATACTAGTTTACTTTTCGAACAGTGATGTGGAAGGGTTTCCCCCACATCCTTAATAACTTTCATTGTTTTTGATAGTCATTTGGATTGGGGTGAGGTAGAATATCATTGCAGTTTTGATTTCATTCCCCCATGGTTTGTTGATTGAAGAAAGAGCTCACAATCTGTTCCTGAGAAAAATCATAGCTTAGAAATAGGAACCATGTCCTAATAATTTTTTGGCTGCTGAAAATTACATAAATTCTGACTTCTGTCTGTGAAACAATTTTCCTTCACTCCCTTGCATAAAAACTGAATAATTTTAGTTTTAAAATGCCAACAATTTAGAAAAGATTAATAATAAAAAGCAATATTCTGTACCCCATTTCTCTCTGTCACTAATCCTGCTCCCTAGAAGTAACCATTTTAGTCATTTTGGTTGAAACCACCATCTTTGGCCAGGCATAGAAGCACAGGACTATACTCCCTTCACTCTGGGAGGCTGAAACAGGAAGATCATGTTCAAGCCCCACCCGGGAAACTTAACAGCTTAGAGAAACCCTGGTTCAAAATAAAATATGAAGACCAGGGATATACCTCAGTGGCACAGTACCTGCTTGGCGAGTGCGAGGTCCTCAGTTTATTCCTGATATGAAAGACAAGCAAAATAACAAAATGGAACATAAAATGGACTGGAGATCTAGCACCCTTGAACTCAAACCCTGGAACTGAAAAAAACAATTTTTAGTGGTTGTTTCCACATTTCTTTTCTTCTTTTTCAAAATTAGTTGTATGGTATTTCTCATTAACTTCCCCATTATCTGTTGAGCTTCACTATGAGAGATGATAACGAAATTCTCTTAAACCTCAATAAAGCAGTATCTCTATTTTCAGCATCATTCTCATTTTTTCCCTATAAAACTTTTTGGTTTTGGTATCGTGGATAAAACTCACTACTTCACGCTTGTCAGGCAGGTGCTTATGCCACTGAGCTAAGTCTTTGGCCCTTGTAAAACTTTTTTTAAAATTTATTAATTTAATTAGCACATCAGGTTTTTTTTTTTTTTTTTTCTTTTTCCTTTTTATCGGTACCGGGGATCGAACTCAAGACCGCCTGCTTGCAAGGAAGGCAGGTGCTTATGCCGCTGAGCTAAATTCCCAGCCCAAAACTTTTTTTAAAAAAATTAATTTTAAGGGGCTGGGGATTTAGCTCAGCGGCATAAGTGCCTCCCTTGCAAGCAGGCGGTCGTGAGTTCGATCCCTGGTACCGATAAAAACGAAAAAGACAAAAAAAAATTAATTTTATTGGTACACTTTTGACATACATAATAATCATACTCTTCATAAGGAATTTGTACCTGTACACAGTGTATTTTAATTCTTCTTTTTTCATTCCCCTCCCTTCCCTTCAATCTTTCAGTCTTTGAAGAATCAGGCTGTGGTTACTGCACAGACAACCTTCAACTCTTGGGCCTCAGTGAACAGACTACAGGCACACAGCGCCACGGCCCAGCTTTAAAACACTGTGGTGTAAAATGGGCCTGGGTTTTAACAAGCAGAGTTTAGAAAACAGCCACTAAAATGGTTCTTTCCCTTTCAGATGCCTAAATAGGAACACATATGAATAAGGGATTTTTATAAAAAGAACATGCTTGGTAAGCACCTGCATTGAAAGCAGGCAGTCGTGAGTTCGATCCCTGGTACCGATAAAAACGAAAAAGACAAAAAAAAAAAAAAAAAAGAACATGCTTGGGGCTGACATTTTTTCCATTTCAATACATCTTCAACTAACAAACATGGGAAACAATGAATTTTCAGATCAAAGCCTTTATAAAAACACCTAAGTTCCACCCCCCCCCACTGCTAAATTTGACTGGCTTTAAAAAAAAAAAAACACCTAAGTTAAAAATGAAGTAGTTTAATTTGCTTATTGACCATAAAATGGTCACACCTCAGAAAAGCTGCCATCAACTCCTTTCTAGAGGATCGATGGCCCTTAGCTCTCCTGTGTCAGGATCCAGACATCCTGACTCAGGCTCTGTAAATTAATTAATTAATCCTCCACCATCTTCTTTGCTCTATTAGAGCTAAAAGATAGGCAATATGTGTGTGGGTGTGGGTGTGGGGGGATAGCAAGAGGGGAAGAGGGGGAAGGAGTGATGGGAGAGTGAAAACTATCAAATACAATGCGTGGTTTGTAAACATCTGCCAGAATGAAACCCATTAATCGGTATAATAAGAAAAAAAAAAAAAAGGAAAGAAAGAGGGAAGGGAAGTGAGGGGAGGAGAGAGGAGGGGAGGGGAGGGGAGGGGAGGGATTTGCCAAGGCACATAGCAGCAGTGCCGAGTTCAGAAAATGAGCCTTACGGATATAATGGCCTGACCAATGAGCTGACCTTACATCTTGATCTTGAGTGAAGAATTATGTGAGGAAATTAATGGAATGTAAAATTCCAGAAAGATATCTTTTTATATCTTCTCATTTTAAAAAATTATTTTGAAAGACATTTCTGGGAACATTCTTGGTTATGTTTTTCCTAGTGAGATACACATTTTCCTTGTGGATTATACCAATGAGCAGAGCTGCTGGATGTAAGCTTTTTATATCTCCAATATCAGACTGATACGAATTTTATTCTAAAATAGTACGGTAATTTATAGCTCCACCAACGCACCGGCAGAGTGTGAGAATTTCTGTAACTCAAATTTTCACCAATATTTGGTGTAGTCAATTTTTACAGTTCAGCTACTTTGACACATGAATACTGATAGTACGTTATAGTTTTGATCTATATATTCATAAAGTTGAGTACAATTTCTGTTTTTTTTCCACTTGGATTTCATATTTTTTAAATTGTTTGTCTTTTTTTTTTTTGGTGCAGGCCTTGTGGTTACTAAGCGTTTGCTCTATCACTGAGTTATACACACACAGCCATGGCATCTTTTGTAAAGTGTCCTTTGCTGAGCATGGTGGTGCACACATGTAACCACTTGAGAAGCTGAGGCAGGAGGATTAATGCAAGTTAAAAGGCAGCCTGCGCTACATGGTTAGTTCAAGCCAGCCTGGACCATAAAATGAATCTTATTAACAAACAAAAAGCAAAAAAACAAAAAATAGTGACTTTTACTGTTGATTTTTTTAAGGAGTAATTTGTGGTTTCACGTATTGCCAATATCTTCTTCTATTACATGACATTTATTCTCTAAATGATATATGGCAATAAAGTTCTTAATTCAGTCCCACTTATCAAACTAGTCCCTTGTATTACATTTTAATATGTGTCAAAAAAACTTTTTTAGATAAGAAAAAAAAGTGCTCCTGGAGCTAGGCATGATGACTCATGGCTAAAATCCCAGATTTCTGCTAGGCTGAGGTAGGAGCATAACAAGTTTGAGCCCAGGCTTCATGTCACAGCGAGACCGTGTCTCAAAATAAAAAATTAAAAATCTGGGGTGGTAGCTCAGTGTGTAACTTGGATTCAATACCAAGTTCTGGCAAATAATAATAATAATAATAATAAAGTGTCCAGGGCTGGGGGTGTAGCTCAGTATGAGAACACTTGTCTAGCACACATGGGCCCTTGGGGAAAAAAGGACATGGCAAGTCTTTGAGTGTTTCCCAAAGTTTTACTTTTTTTTCTACTTTCACTTGTAATCTAGAATCCATCTAATATTAATTTTGGCTACATATATATGAGATGGGTTGTGAACAACAGTACAGGAATCCAAGCAGCCAAATTAATAAATTTGGAATTTAATGAGCTGAGTTCAGGACCACTTGTATACCCACCTTGCCCCCGTTTTAGGGTCCAAACAAGTGGCACCTAACTGGAAAGTTACAGAGTTTTTAAGAGAGACAATGACAAAAAGGCATCCTGTTAGACACAATTTAGCTAGAATCTTACATTAATTTTTGGTTGACACTTGTATCCTCCTTCTTTTGTTGAGCAGGTTAATTTTTCTCCAGTGGGTACAGCTCATTCTGCGTTTCTCATGGGACTTACACTCTGAGTAATTTTCCATTTTCCTGGGTGAAGTACAGGGCACTAGTTAAATGCAGGGCTCAAGATGGTGTCAGTTATGCCAAGCTACAACGATACATATTCAACTATCTAAGCATAATTTCTTTTAAAAATTATTTTAGTGTCTTACAGTGCCCATGTATTCTTTGGTCTATTTCTGAGTTTCTTTTTCAGTTACAACTGATCCGTTTGTCTATTGCACCAATGAAACACTATCTATTAGTATAGCTTTAAAAGAGAGCCCAATAGAATAAATCCTCCCACTCTAGCATTCTTCAGCAAGTGTATCTTTGTATCTTTGGAATTGTCTTTAAATACTGGATACCAATTATCAAGTTGACCTCTCTGTCTGCAAATGAGGTTTTTGTTGAGTCTGATTGTATTTCAGCATGGGGATAAGTGATGGTTTTACAGTTTGAATCTTCCAATTAATGAATATCATATATATAATTATTCATTATTTTATATCTTAATTTCACCTTATTTTTTAGTTTTCCATGTAGAGAGCTTCTAAAGTCTGTTTATTCCTAGCAATTGATTTGTTTAAATACTGCTAAAAATGTTTTTTGTGTGTGTGTGTGTGTGTGAGGAGCAGTACTGGAAATTGAAACCCAGAGCCTTCACACAGAGCTACTTTCCCAGTTTCCAGTCTTTTTTTTATTTTTTTAATTTCAAGACAGGATCTTCTAAATTGCTAGTTTTGGGCTCAAATTTGTGAACCTCCTGCCTCAGCCTCCGGAGTTCTGGGTCTACAAGCATATCCCACCACACTGCTGAAGGTGGTATCTTTTAAAGAAGTTACCATCTGGACGTGGTGGCCTATTGCTGTGCTTCCAGCACTGGGGAGGCTGAGATGGAAAGACCACTTGAAACTTGGAGTTCAAGACTTGCTGGACAACACAGTGAGATTCTCTCTTTTTGTAAAAAAGTATCTAGAATAGTTTTGGGGCCATAATGTTCACATTATGATTCTTACAGTGTCCAGTGAACACTGTTTTTTTTCCCCTCTGATACAATTAGGTCCTTTCTGGAATGGCATCTGTGACTCAGCTATTTAGAACCTAATGAAGGTGATGATGCTATGACAATGTGGAGAAACCATGACAGAAAATGTGGTTTGTACTGGTGCTGTCAATGCTGTAAAGGAAGTTTGGGAAAAAAGAATAAAGAAACTGAATGAAGACCTGAAGCGAGAGAAGCAGTTTCAACAGAAGTATGCCATAATAGATTTATTATTTTGAATTAATGAGAATTCATAATCTTATCATCATAAAAAATCATATTGTAAGGGTCTCATTATTGAATTTGACATATTTTTGTTTGCTAACTCATAATTCTTTATTAACTCAAAATAGTATTAAAAATACCCAACTCAAATTGAATGTAGCTAGCTATAAGAGTCACAAAAACTCACTACAAATGTGTGCATGTGAAAATAATAGAACTCTGTTAGACATTCATTAAGTTTCTATCACTTAGTCTAATTTTAAGTGTTGTGTCCTCAGCATTATAGCTTCTAAGAGCTGGCAGCAGAAGCCAGTGTTTAGATTCATATCTCTTTGAATAACTCTGAGGTAGGAGGACCTGTGTGGATTACCTGATTCCTTGGTTGGAGCTATCTTTAAGCTTATTTCCTCTGACTTTTTGATTTTTTTCCCCCAGCAATGAGGCTTGAACCCAGAGTTGTTGAGCTGAGCTTAATCCTCAGTCCTCTTTTATTTTTTATTTTGATATAGTCAGTCACTAAACCTGTGATTTTCCTGCCTTAGCCTCCCAGAATTCTAACAGCACCACCATGCCCAGCTGTTTGTCTCCTTGGTAGTAACTATTTCCTGATTGTTTGTATGCAATGAATTCTACTAGTCTTGTAAAAATAGCACATTTCCCCATAGATCCCACATGGTTTCCTATAGTTTTCATTCATCAGGTCTCATTTGCACTGTAAATTAGCAACAGTCATTTGCCGGTATCAGTTAGCAAGTACAGGAAATTCATGTACAAATGGTTTAAGCAACAAGAAAATAAGGCAGTAATAAAAAGATAGTGTGAAGTCTGGGCGTCTTTAGAGAGTCAGCTTCTTTTTCACCTTCCACTGCCAGTGTCAGAGTGTCAGCTTGGTCCTCAGTGAAGCATTCCTCAAGGTCTCTAGGTATCTGATACACATCCAAGCAGCACAACCAAAACCACCAAGCATCCTTATGTTTTCAAGGAATGAAAATTATTTTTTCTATGTCTCCTTTGAAAGTGAGAACATCTTTCTCAGAGTCCCCCAGTGAACCTTTACTTTACTCATTAGCCAGAACTGGATAATTTTACATACCTAGTCCAATTACCTCTTAGAGGAATAAGATTGTATCATTGGTTAAGCACTCAGGATTTACCCCTGAATCACTTGGGAGAACGGTAAACATTTGAAAAATGTCTGGTGTTCTTCCAGTAAATAGTAAGTGAGAGATACTATTAATAAGCCGTGATTTGAATCTGCTAAATGACTGCTATGCTTTATGTTAGATGGCCCCTGAGTCTCATGAAATCATGGATGCGGCTGAGTCTGGCGTGCGTGATAGGATCGTTGTCTGGTGCTCAGACTGATGGTGTGAGTGCTACAGGGGTTGAGCCAGCGTACTGTGTAATGGTATAGGGAAGGAGGTGTAGCTCTCTCTTTTGCTGTTCACATTGCTGTTCGCAGTGTCCATGAACTGTGGCCCTGCCATGCCACCCTGCTGCTTGGAGCTGACTGAGTATGGACCAAAATCTCCAACCTGTAAGAAATAAACCTTTCCTTCCCTAATGTTGGACATTAGATATTTTGTCTCAATGAGAGAGAAAAGTACCCAAGACAGTGACAATAAAAACAAAAGATCTGAATGGGGAGAAACCATTCTTCTCATGCAAAACCAATGAAGATGGTAATAATGCTAAGGTGACTGACTGGTAGGGGTGGCAGTCACTTTCCCTGTACCTGCTGTTTACTAGGGACTCTGCTAAGTGGTCTGTTTGTGCTGCCTTACTTGATCTTCTCACCTCGCTGAAGTAGTGTCATGCTGAGGATTAGACTGCATTGTGAGAGAAGCAGAACAAGGTAACAGTGGCTGACAGGTTCAGTTTTCTACAGATGATGTGAGTCTACAATATCATCAGCCTGAGTGTCTGACTCAGGAGGTGAGTCAGACCCCCTGAGTCAGACACTCAGGCTTTCATCCTGCTGCTTGATTGTACACGTGTACATAATTTTCTATCCTAAAGTTCCCTGGTGGCCCTAAACAAACAGATAAACTATAGCCATTATATTTGTTTCCTGCACTTTCAGGAGGTGCACATACTACTTCTGCTAACATTGCATTAACCAGAGCTTCACGTAGTTCATTTCTAGCCGCAAGAGAAGAGAGCTAATTCTTTTGCCCAGTTAATTTAGATCTATTATTGAGGAAGAGGAGGAGTAACAAATACCAATGAGTGAGGAGAAGTTTCTGTGACACATGGATACTATTAATTTCTTCCTTTTTAAAGGAGGAGAATCTGAGGGATCAGCCTAAGTAACTTGTCAAAGCTTATGTTGCTAATAAATGTTGAACTGGTATTTATACCCTGATCTGACTCAGTAAGCATTAGATTCACTTTGTGTTTTATGTTTCCCTAGATTGGTCCTTTTACTTGTTTTTTCTTTATCTTGTAAAGCTACTCTTAGGAAACTTATTAAGTTTATTACAGTTATGGCTATTTTGAATCTTAAATATACTTTTTCATTTTTAAACAGTGACCAAGAATCATATCTTTGTTCTAAACCCCTGAATTTCCCCTATTAAATGTATCTATAATGTTAAAGAAAAAATTACCCACATACTTGCTAAAGATGGTAAAAGGTTTCTGGCTAAAATGATTTGTTAAGATTATTGCTGAACAAGGGTGTTCAGATATCAAAGGAATGGGATTTTCACTAAACTAAGTAGTATTCTTGCTCAAACTGGATTCTTTGGAGACAAAAAGAGAAGCGCAGGGTCAGGCCTAGACAAGGAGAGACTCAGAGTGATCAAAGTTGTAGTTAAAAGAGGTACTCTTTGAAGCCAACTAAGGCTTCAATTTCAGCAGCTTTGATTTCTCTCAGTGAAGAGTAATGAGTATTCATCATTGGTCTCTTGATTTTTGGCTTCATGACTATACTGTGATCAAGAGAGGAGACTTTATAAAATATAATTTTTAAAAATTAACTTTCAAAAGCCACTACCAGATAATTATTAAGATTATTAAGAGGTTAAAAATTGTGCAGTTCTTCTGGCAACCTTTGAGGAAAAAATTAGAGACCAAGACATTTATTAATTTTTAAAATTAATTTTATTGGTACACTATTGATACACATAATGATCAGGTTCATCTTAGGGAGCTTATGTCTGTACATAGTATATCTCGCTTCTTTTTTCCCTATTCTCCTCCCCTCCCTTCAACCCATCTTTCCTTTCCCCTTTACAAAGGCTTTATTTCCATTTTTTCCCTTCTATTCTCTTTTTTTCTTTTTCCTTCTCTTGCTTCCCATCATTCCTTCCTTGTTCCTCTTCCTGTTTAAACATTTTCCTTCTACTTCCCAATGTCTATGAAGATCAAAACACTTAGGGAAGAAAATTACTCTTTTGCCAAAATTGGTTTCTAGTTTTAGAAACTTTCCATGGGCTGAGGAAGAAGCCCGGTGGTAGAGCACTGGCTTAGTGTGCAGGAGGCTCTGCTTCGATCCCCAGCACCACAAATTTTTAAAAAAACTAAAAAGAAAGAAAATTTATGTGAAGTTGTACAATTTTTCAAAACATTTTCTTTTAATCCTAAAACAGTTTAATTATAAAATAAATGCAGCAATTTTTAAAAATTGTTTTATGGTTAAATAAATCCCAAGACATTTCAAAAAAGTAAACTAGGTTAAACTTGAAACCTGGAGTATTGTGGAATAAATAGTAAGTAAATAATCATGACTGACCTGCCAGAGGACAAAGTTAAACCAACTTGATGACTTTTTTTTTTTTTCTTGTACCAGGGATTGAACTCACAACCTTGCACTTGCCAGGCAGGCACTTAGGCCACTGAGCTAAATCCCTGGCCCTGACTTACAGATCTTAATTGGCTTTATTTACTGGTCTAGAACCAGGCATTATTTTATTCCATTTAAATAAAATAAGTTTTCTGATGACTAGAACAGAAGTTGATTTTATAGATAGAAAAGGGCTGGAGAAAAAAAGCAGAAGCAAAGAACAAAAAGTAAATCAGTCATTTCAAAGGTATTTTTCTTGTGGGAAGTGACAGAACAATAGAAAATGGTTAACGTTAGGCTACTTTTGGCGGAGGGGGTGGAAGGATTAAAAAGAGAGAACTTTGTTAGCACACTGACTGGAACTGGCCTGTTTGGGAATCAGGCTGTCATCTCTCCTGATTTCTCAGAAGGCCGGAGAACAGCTCTGTTTCTGTTCAGTGACACGGTGAAGCACCACCATGGTTTCATTCTGATTTTTGTTTGTTAGGTTCAGGGCAGGAAGATTAACCAAAACAATGATCTCCTCCAATTTTTACTTAACAGATACTAAAAGGTAAGAATTGTTAAATCCAAACTTTTGAGGCCAAGGTATCTCTGAAAGAAAACAGTTTACTGAACTATTATAGAAAAAGGACCTGGACGTGAGGCCAGTTCCCACGGCTCGTAGCAGCAAAGAGAGAGAACAGTTAAAAATGTGTGCTGGACCTAGGAGCCAAGAGAATTTTTACAATGGAAAGCTTATGTTTGCTGTGGAGGTTGCTGAGGGGAGGATAACACATAGAAGGGAAAGTTGGGGGTAGGAGGACAATCCATACGGTGGAGAATGTGTTGCTTCTGGATCGGTTGGGGTTGATAGTCAGGAAGGTTCACTTGTAAGCGGAGAGCCTCACTGCCTGGTAGTCCACCACTGCGGGATTAAAGTCAAGGTTTCAACAGGTACTCACAAATGGGAAAGACTTCCATGGGCTTGGCCCCTGACCATTGGGTGATTAACTCTGCTTACCTGCCTCCCCTTCACCCTCTGAGTTCTGTAATTAAGTTTAGGACATATCAGCTTTTTTTGATCTCTTTTTCCTAGCAGAATCTGACAGACCTAGAGTGAGACAGAAAAAAAGAAAAGAAAAAAAAAAAGCTCACTGGGAAAAAAAAGTCACACATTTAAATTGGCCAAAGTAAGCCAAAGAAATGTCCTTTTTGCT